ATCACTTTTTTCACTATGATTTTGGACTAACGCAAGGCCGTCTGCCTTAGTCCCACCTAGTTTTTCCCGCTTTATTTTTATCACTCTGCTGACTCGTGCAATCACGTGCATAATGACCTAAATTATGACACTTATAAACACTCAACAGTAGATAAATCCCTTCTTTTGAATTTTTTCTGGCTGCATATCTTGCTTTTTTAATGACAGACAGAATCTCATCAAATTTTTTATCTATTTCTTTCTTGAAAGACAAAAACTGCTCTTGAGAAACATTGTTGTTCCCTTGACGAACCATTCGAACTTTGGTGTTTGCCTTAGTTTCATCCTTCAAACTATAGTACGTCTCCAGAATCTCGCGTGCATTTTCGATACTGGTCGGATCCTTCATCCCTATAGCCAGAGCCATCTGGGAGTCACCCAGACCTCTAATAAAATGCCGTAAACAAATTGTACCAATAGTATGATCATCTGCAGTTGGGTAGCCCTTTCGAACCAGACGCTTTATATCTGCAACATACTCCACGAGTTTTTTCGCCTTGAGTGAAGCTTGACATTTTCGAGCTCCATCAGATAAGAGGCAGTAGAACGTCTTTCTACAAATCTTGCTGCTAGAACATTGCTCAAGCTGTGTGTAAGATTGTTGAGTTTCAGGACTGACCTGGTTGAATACAAACTCTGCTGCATCATCCCTCAGACTATTCAGCAAGCGAAATGCCCCTCTCTTTATCACTCCATTGGCATGTTTCAGCCAACACAGCAAATTGACGTATGAATGCGGTGTATGACGTTTTACCATCAAAAAGAACCTGGTTTGGTAGTGGAACATTATAATCCCGAGAATTTCTTTGGTTTACTTTCTCGTAATGCAATGTTCTGCAGGCGACTAAGTTCAACATCTCTTGATTGTAAAAATATTTTGTAATTCATCAATTTCATTTGTCAATACTTGGATTTGTCTGTCTCTATTCATCTGAGTTGTATGATATAGACTGTTCAAATTTTCCTTATCTCTTCGAAATTGTTCATTTTCACTTTCTATAATTTCTTGTAATCCAACTTTTTCACTTTGTAAAATTTTGACAGTTTCATTTAATTTCTCAATATTTGCCAATGCATCAGTTAAATTAGCTTGTAAATCATCATTTTCATCAATTTTCTGGAAAGTTGTTGACGTAAATCCATTGTAAGTTCTGAATTTTCAAGACGTGATGCTGATGCAGATCTAGCAGATTTCTTAGGTCCCATATTACTGACTTTCTTCTAAAACCTGAGTGTCATCGTCTAACATAGAAGCACGTAATTTTGCATTATATGATTTTTAATTCACTGATTTCATTATTTTTCATTTCTGAAATTTCATTCACTTTGTTACAAAAATCACTAAAAGCACTTGTTAGATTTTCACTATGACTAACTAGTTCTTTGGAGATGTTTCCTATTTCTAAACAGCACAAAGAAACAGTCTGACGCAATGATTCTAATTCCTTTTCCATTTTGTTAAGTCCATTACACTCAAAAAGTAGAAAATTTCAAAGTCTTTATCCCTGCGCTGAAGCATGTTAAAGTTCTTATCCGACGCTGCCACCAGTGTTACGAAAATCATTTCACTTTTGTGAAAAGCTTTGTTTATTCACTTTTTTCGCTTAAAAGTAAACCATTTCTCTATGCTGGTAAAATGAACAAGTCAAGTCCAAGTGAAAGCAGGATTATATTTATTGCAGTAAATCAAAATAATGCATCATTTTATTCTCTATCAACAGTCAAAACCAAAGTAAAATTCTTAACAACTTCAACAAATACATTTCTGCAATTACTAACTAACTCAACTCAACCAACTCCAACTCACTCCAAAACTCCTCAAAAACTCCAAAACTAACCCAGCTAGAAAAGTTCCCAGCTTATATACCCTTCTGTTTGCGCAGCTAGGGTGGTGTGCAAAAGTAGACTGTTGCGCGACCTCTTATTGCGCGACCTCTCCAGTTTTGCACACAACTCATTGCGCGACCTGAATGTTGCGCGACCTTTTAAAATGCTGACAATGCCTTAACAATGTTCAAAATGGCCTGCAACTGGTTCAGGTATACAGACTGTTGTACAATACAAACATTAGTACAAAAATACATAATAGTTATATAAATTTACATGTTTGAACACTCAATAGGATAATAATTATCTGTCCAATAATGCATCTTAATAGTGCAAAATATACTTGCAGTAATAAAGATATATGTACTATATATGGCTTATAAGACCAATACATTTACTACTGATTGACATTTCTATAAACTTATGATACTGACTGATAATTCATTAAACAACAGAAATATAATCTCTCCAGCTTTACAACATACAGCTCAACATTTGAACCAAGTAACCTGTACATAGATAAAGCAGGAAGGAATCCCATTCATAAAATCTGATATGACCAAATTATGCTTTGTTAACAACAATTGAGATGCTGAAGGGATAAAAATAACTTAAACCTTGTACTTTTAGTCTGCGCGACCTCTTATTGCGCGACCTCTCCATATTTGGAACTAGCATGCCTGGGAAAGCTGATTCTGCGCGACCTTTCCTATTGCGCGACCTTAAGTGTCGCGCGACCTTTGTCTGCGCGACCTTTCCAAATTTGGAATGAGGTATGCTCATAATTTAAAAATAACTGAGCTGTGCCAATATTCTGGACTGTTAATGACTCAATTGTTTTACAACAAAAATGAGAAAAGTTAACATAAACATTTTAACCAGCTTAGAAATGTTGTCCAGATATACCATCCTAAAAGAATACTCTTCTAGTAAAAGACTAGTTTCAAATTTCATAACAATATGTAAATTGAATGATGCTGACCGATCGTCTGTCGGTCCATTGGAGATTGAGACCAAAAAAGGCTCTATTTTCTCTGATATCAGCGAATGGCCTAGCGTAAGTATCTAATTCATTCACAAAATCTTTGTACACACATGGGAAATAATTTGATTTAATGTTCCGTGCCGCCAGATCAGCCAAACAATAACTTTGAGAAAAATTTACTAACATTTTTAGAAAATATTAACAATTCAATGAATAATTTAGTTTAAACAATATTTTATTCACAAAATTATACATGGTGGTACAATACAAATTGTATTGAGTTTGTTATACATATAATTAACATATTATGAGAAAAAAAAAGAAATAAAAGAAAGAACACAATATATTTCTTATACATTTTGGAATCGGATATGAAATCAAATATCAAATACTTATGTTGAATTCATCTCATAAAAAATTGGCAGGTTAATAAAATCAAGAAGTAATAATTTATATATATTATGCAAAGAATGACTAATTTTGTAGTATTATTTACAATATTTCTACAGCAATAAGGGCTATGTTTTCATATTTTAACCTTTATTTGGTAATTTACGTGTTTTGCAAGTGCCGTTTTAAATGTGTAAATAACTTACTTTGTTTGTTTGACAATGTACTTGTATATACATGTATTTACAATTTACATTAAAATAAGCATTAACCAGGTGCCACGCTGCCTTACCATCTGCAGTTGATTTTACATCTGATGTTTATTCCAAAGTCTCATATTTACTGTAAAAAATCTTTTTTCGAAAACAACAAAAAAGAGAACCTTTGCTAAATTGTTTTCTAATTATATGGTCAATACACACAATATATCAATCTTCGATAGATTTCTGGAAAGGTTCGTGAGATATTTGCAGTAAGATGTGATTTTATTTAATTTCTGTCGATAAAGTAATTGTACTGAGCGTTATTGCGCAATAGGGTAAAAATCTCCTACGTCTTGTAAGATCGAAACAGCGAGGGTACATGTTTTTTTTTCTAATTAATATTTTTAACATTATAGAATTGTTTGATTATTTCTTTTGTTGTCCGTTTTGTTTTGCACTTATTTAGAACGCTCGCCTTTACCGCTATGTATTAAATTCCGGTTATTGACAGTTAAATGTTATTGAATACTGAAGATTGAGAAAAAATTACGTTCGGGAAATGACTGATTTATAACGGTATTGGCCGATGTTAGAATCTTTTTTATCGGAAAAGCATTGCAGTATAAGTACCGAGCAAATAATATAGTTGACAAGCCTGACTTACTTTTGTCACATCTATCAGTTTCCGATCCCTAGGCTGAACAATATCAAAAGATGTTCAAACATTAATCAAACTCACTCAATGCATAATTTTCTAAGAACCCGTCATGGTGTTGCTGTTTATTGTAACCACGTCAGTTTTGTATGCTCTTGAAGAAATCAATGAATTATTCAATGAAAAAGAATCAATAAAAATAAATTCAATTGCGTAACCAAAAAACATGTAAGTGATGTGGTTTTAGAAATTGTTTAAAATAGTACAAGTACATGTAATATTCAAAATTTCAAGTTTCAAAGGCCATCTTATATAAATACAAGTCATGATTTATTGGAGACCATACGGAGTTTTTCAACGAATTGCACGAACGTTTCACATTGAATGTTCTATGGTCACTTACGTTTTGTTGATTATTTGAAAAACAAAATCCCCATGTCCACGTTAAGCTGTTGAATACTTCTTAAGCCGGTGATAGTGGGCGTATACTGTATGCTCTTGCCACTACCGTCCATGAACATGCTCAATATAACCGAGCCTGTAACATTTCTTCCGTTTATACATAACGATGCCCCCCCTCCTCGATATGGTGAAGGCATATATTTCTAAAGCATCCGTCATTCCGTCGGGACCGGCCAACAGTCAATAGATTATGACCTTCATGTCGTCGATAATTTCATTTGAAACAAAGGAAGAAACTACATACATCATCTGTTTACGTAGAAATTCTCTGTCAATACATATGCCGGAAAGTGTAACATAAATATCAAAGAAATACCAATAAATCCAAATGCTGGGTTGTCTGTTCGTCCGAAACACTTAATGGATTTTTAAGCTTTTTCCTATGCTAATAATACATGTTTTGTAAAGATATAGGACCTCAGGGTGGTACGGAGTTCATCGGAAGGCATGAGCCGGTATATGTCAAACTTGCAATGCAAGGGCATTTTCCTTTTATATTGTTCTTTGCAAACAAGCAGATATTTAAATATTTATTAACTATTGATATACAGGTATGAATGAATAGATTTTTCCCCATAGGTATTCTTGTTAATTTTTCACTGGTATGACGCAATTGTCCCGTATGCTTAGATACGGTCACCATACATATTTCATTTCAGCATTGGTTAACTAAAAGCTAACGTAACATTAGTTTAAAACTATGGCTTTGCTTGCTGGATTTGTAATTATTAACTTTGTTTTACTCGGAACTGTTTATTCAAGCACGTGTAAACCATTTCAAATAAACAAGGACAATCTTAATAAAGCATTGATCGGTCATTCCGTGCGTGAAATTAATGATATAAATCATCAAGAGTGCGCACGGACATGTATGTCAATGTCTGTATGTAAATCTATTGACTTTGATAGGCAGGAGGACATATGTAAATTGAATGACGCCGACCGATCGTCTGTCGATCCATCGGAGTTTGAGACCAAAGTTGGCTCTATTTTCTCTGATATCAGCGAATGGCCTAGCGTAAGTATCTTAATTCATTCACAAAAACCTTTGTACACACATGGGAAATAATAATGTTCCCAGCCGCCAGATCAGCCAAAAAAATAACGTTGAGAAACATCTACTAACATTTTAAGAAAAGGGAAAATATTAACAATTCAAGGAATAATTTAGTTTAAACAATATTTTATTCACAAAATTATACATGGTGGTACAATACAAATTGTATTGAGTTTGTTATACATATAATTAACATATTATGAAAAAAAAAAGAAAGAACACAATATATTTCTTATACATTTTGAAATCGGATATGAAATCAAATATCAAAAACTTATGTTGAATTCTTCTCCTAAAAAATTGGCATGTTAATAAAATCAAGAAGTAATAATTTATATATCATATGAAAAGAATGACTAATTTTTAAGTATTTCTTTACAATATTTCTACAGCAGTAAGGGCTATTTTATCATATTTTAACCTTTATTTGGTATTTTACGTGTTTTTGTAAAGTGCCGTTTTAAATGGTGTAATAACTTATTTTCTTTGTTTGACTATGTACATGTATACACATGTATTTACAATTTACATTAAAAATTAGCATTAACCAGGAGCCCGTCTTTATCAAACGGTCGTACGATTTTTGGTGGTGTCTTATCAATCGTCGCAGATTTTTCATAATCGTACGATTATCGTAAGATCGTGCATTTTTTCTAACGATCGCTGAGAAGCAGTCGTAGATCAAAAAATGGCTGCCTTGCTTCCTGTAAATGCTTAAGGCCTTCCAGGCATCAAGTGCAACTATTGGATTGCCCGAGTGGTCATTTAGTTGTGGCCGACTATCAGCTTGGTTAATTTTCATTAAAGAAACCTATGATCTTAAGATCTTGATTAAGTTTCAACAACTTAATTGCATATTATACTTTAATTAACAAATTTTGAAACTGCTTCTTTAATAATATTATTCAAAAAATAAAAATGTTGCTTTCTATAATTTTCACCATGAGAGAAAATAATATAAATTAAACTAAACTTCCTGTGTAGAAAAACAATGAAAAAGAATATATGATATTTTTGAGGGGGGGGGGGTGGCTGTCAGGGGAGGAAAATGATGGAAACGGTTTGAGTGAGAACTGTCAGACGGAGGAACTGGTTAGGGTGAGAATAGTCTGTCATTCATCCAAGACATATAGTTTCTTTTTCTTTCTGAAAGATGAGCAGTTTGTTCTGAAATGTGAAACAGTAAATTCATGTAAAAATAGAAATTAGAAAGTGGTAAATGATGATTTATCTTTTTATGGCTTATTCTAGCCCAAATAAACACATTTAGATATAATATAAGACTGTTATTAATTTTTATTGCATTAAACAACAAATAATGTAAAAAAACAAATATAACTACATGTAAATCTAAAAGTTGGCCTGTAATACATGTCTGCAAAATTTATTTTCACTATATATCTATATTGTCTGCGTTTCTCGCAGGTACTATATACGCTTTATCGTGTGCATTTTACTCTAGGTTTATAAGCAGTATAGAACATATAGTAAAATGCAGACAATATAGAGTATATAGTTATTGCAAAAAACGCAGAATATATAGATATATATAGTTAGTTGATATTGTATATATGTTGTTTTTGTAATGATAATTATATTTATATTTTTACATCACATTGTTTTTGTTGTTTTTTTTAATAATTATAAATGCTTTATAACATTGTTTTATTAACTATTTAATGATTACTTTGTAGATGGACTATGTATAAAAAACAAATGAAAATATGTTCTGCTTTTTAAATTTGTTTTGAAATTTACTTTATTGTCCCTATTAAAAGTCTGCTTATTAAAGTTAACAAAACTTATATTAGACATTTTATCTTAAATTCATAAAAGTTGGTACAAATCAAATCAAGCATAGTATGTCAAAAAATCTTTTTAATATCATTATTTATTATTTTTTTAATTTATATCATCTTAGTCAAAATCATAAAAAAATATTTCTATTCTTTAAAATTCTAATCTATTATCAAATATTTATACCTACAAATCTCTAATATCAATAAATTTTGATCTTAAAAATACAAATCTAAACAGCTTTTAAGTATCTTATTTACACCTTCTTCTTCTATATTGTCTGCGTTTGTGAAAACACTATATCTATATTGTTTGCGTTTTACTATATATCCTATATTGTCTGCATGGGCGTCTTTTGACCGACCCGTGATACTGTTCTGGCGTAAGAACCGTACGTCTATGAAAATCGTAAGATTTTAGGTTAAACGTACGACCGCGTTGATAAGACAGGATCAAAATCGTACGATAAGATTTTCAAAATAACCTTGACCGTGAACGTAAAATATTTACGAAATTTCGCAATAATTGGATATATTTTGCGTAATATAAAAAGTGGATTGTCTTTATACATAGACACAGAAACCTTTGGGACAAGGCCATCAATATAATTTTTAGAAAAGATTACCTTAACATTTAAAGTCAAATTATTGATTTATGTTCCTTCTAAAATGTGTTGTTATTTGTTATTTATTTACAGATTCCAATCAAACATGAACAAGCACGCTCCTGCCTTAACCAACATAATGAAAAACATACTCTAAAAGGCCCTGGACAATTAAATGACATTGGTTGTAAAATTGTTACTTAAATTGGCCATACCTATATATATATTTTAATTTGTGTCATTCTTAGACAAAATGTACTTCTGACCTAATTGATGCGTTAAATGATTTTGAAATTACCTTGAAATGACAATGGCCGTCAAGGCCACATAAATGCATTTACCCATAACATGTTACAACTGTCTTATGTTTTTACAATTTTGTCTTAAATTTGGACAAATCAACATTTGTGTCAAAGCCGAAATGTTTAAGTGGTCAAGTTTGATCTTTACCTTGACAATCAAGGTCAAACTATTTTTTTTCAATTGAGATTACTTTTAACATCATAACAGAATGACACCAAAGTTAATTATGTTTCTCGTGCGCACGAGATACTATGTAGTGGCCACGAGTTACTAAAACGTGGGCACGAGATAAATAAGTCGTGGGAACGGGTTACTATGTCGTGGCCAAAGGTTAATAAGTCGTGGCCACGAGATAAATAGCCAATCAGATTACACTATTTATATGACTTTTCCTAATTTACTAGACATGTGATATAGTTCAAGCATGCCCCTACTTCACCTGCCTGTAAAAGTGCCATTTATACAAGTTATTGATTTTTAATGACCAAATGACCCTTTTTTACCCATTGGCCTCAAAATAGTCCGGTGTCATCTACTGAATTTTCTTAAGGATAAATATTTTTTTTAGATAAATCGGTTGATTTAATTTTCAATCAAAACAATTAAGGCTGAAAATGAAATTTGCAGATAGATACCTCTTTTCTATCGGTCTGCTCTCTGTATATAAATAAGTAACGCGGGCGATTTATTTCCCGATCTTCTATTTTTAAAAACGACCGACACTGACGCGCTTGGGACGCTGAACTTTGAGGTGGCTTTGCAGTGATATGATGTACTTTTACAAAGCTAAATTTTTGTATTATTAAAACTTAGTTTGAAACTACACAGAATTGTTTTACAACAGAAAATCAAGGTTGGTGGTCGTTTTAATGTAACATATTTTGTTTTTGATTTTTCCTCTTTTTTATAGGCAATGGTTGGAAGTTGTAGTTCAAGGCCGTGTAAAGCAAACCAAAGATGTTATCAGAAAGGTGCCTCACATGTCTGCAAATGTATAAGTATGGAAATCCTTTTAATTGTCCATGTAGTAATAACTAGTTTATTTTTTTGTTGTTGTTTTTGTAATTCTTAGATATTTCAGATAAAAAAAAAACAATAGCAAATTTAACCTACCTTTATTATATCAATTGTCACATATATAAGTTCTGAATAGCCCAAGTCCTTTACATGTACAAAAATAGAAATTAATTAATAAACAGAATCCTTAAAAACACACAAAACGGCAAAAATTGAAAGTATTAAAGACTCGGTTTGATGCAGCATGTACATGACGAAAGTTGTAGTTGCTAGCTACCGTTCACACCCCTTATAACCGATGTCGTTTGTTTGTTTGATTGGGTTTAACACAGTATAGGTCATTTTGCGATATTTCAGCTTTACTGGTGGAAGAAGACCTCAATTGCCCTACCGTTCATTATTTCAGACACGAACGGGCACTTGAGTAGACCACCGATGTTCCGTAAGCTAGCTGGATAGCTTTCTCACATGAAAGAATCCAAAGTCCTTGTCGGGATTCGAAACCACGGCGGTGAGGGGCAAATGATTTGAAGTCAACGACCTTAACCACTCGGCCCCGGACACTCCATCGATGTCAAGTGTATAAATATCTATATCATTAACATGTATATAGAACTGGCCCATTAAAACAGAGTCCGTAACATTTTAAATTTTGCCGTTTTTTTTTACTTCTTTCTATTTTGAGTAAACTACAGCAATATGATGTTTTATTAAATCAGTTTGGGTAATTTTTTCTTGAGTCATCTGTAAACATGACTTTGTATTTATAGAGAAAACCCTTCAATTGTTCTAATTGTCCTTAGCATGAAAAATTATATAAGCATGTATTATATAAGCATGAATTATATAAGTATGAATTAAAGACGTATTAATTTTATTAGCTTAAGTTATATTAGCATGAATTATGTTTATATGAATTGTATAATCATGAATTATATCAGCATGAATCATAGAAGTACGAATCATATATGTATGCATTCTATTTGTTTGAATTACATGTATATAAACATTACTTATATTAATATGAACTATATTAGAACGATTTATATAAGTATAAATTGTATTAGCAAGAATTATTTTTTAAATAATATTCGCTTTAATAATATAAGCATGAATTATATTTATATTGATTATATTATATAAGTATTAACTTTATTATCATGAATCATATTAGTATGAATTATATTAGTATGATGTTTTGTATTCAGTCCCATGGACATGTAAAGATGTCAAACTGTGTAGCTCCTTCTACACTGATGGTGAATACTGGCTATATTCGGAAGTTCTCGGAGGTCATATGGTCAAAATATACTGTGCTGGAATGTCCACAGAAGAACCACTGGAGTACATTTCAGGTTTCGGATAAAACTTTTCATCTTTGACGCTAACAGCTTTTTTTCAATACAATGTTTAGCGGTTGATTCGAAAAAAAAGTCAGGTTAAAGATAACTAATTATCGTGAATATTTGAATATAGTACATCTAATTTTGTCTGCAATCGTTTATGAGTACATGTATGGTTTGCAATGTATTGTGGTAAAGCGAACGTCATGTTGGTATTTTCTAAAGCCATTGACTCGCAAAACTTTAATTAATATAAATCGATTCCTTAACTGCACTGTGTTATAAAAAAATTGTCCGATGGTTGTTTATATAATGGCACATTGTGCATGTTAATAACCATTTTAAAACGTAATTTAAAGAAATAACAAATAGAGGAAATGATGATTTTTCAATTAAATTTAAAATCGTATAAATTTTAAATCAAAGTTAATTGGGTCGTATTGTAAACATTATTACTATCTATTTCAGTAAATGAAAAAGACAATTATGGATTCAATGCTGGGAAATCACATATCGAAGCAGGTTTCACGAGATACAGGAAAATACGTGTCAATATCATGGTATCAATCCAACCATTTAGAAAATCAAACTCATGTCATGTTTTAATTTATCTTAATCAAATATTGCTAAAGGCCCATTATGCCTCAGAAATGTTTTCATTTTTATTTCTCACAAAGTTTAAACTGCTGGTAATTTTCAACAAAAATACTATATTAACCACATAGATGAACAAAATGTTGCTTCTTTTGCTCTGATTGCAAATAAATAAAGTGAACTTGTATTTTGCAAGGATGTCAAAATACTACTTGTTAACATTTTGCTACCTTAAAGACACATTACTGCACGTTCAGCCTAATTTATCCAGCTGTTAAACTTCTAAAATGCTTTTTATCTATAATTGATATGCTATTTTTTCGCAATTCTCATTTCCAGGATGGGAAAATTGTACGTAATGACACCATATTCAGTACAAGTACTCCAGAAGATAACTCTGAACTTCTCCAGCTACCGTATGGAACTGGCCATGGTTGTCGTTGTTGGAATTGTGCGAATGGAAATTTCAGTATCTCCTTGCAAGGTACAGGGCTGAAATTTAGGAAAGAGGTATACATATTTCATCTTTTAAGCTAAAAGATTTCTGATGAAGACGTTATAATTGATTGACAGTTTGTGATGAAAGAACGAAAATAATAAGTTTCGTCTTTTTCCGAGAGAATGTCAGCGACCTGTCGTTATGTTGGCCCGTTAATGACTACAAGCACTAATGGGAAAATGCCTTCAATTACATTTATTAGCCGGTGCTAGAGAGCTTGAGAGGTGTTGCATTGTTTCATTATCTCTCATAAACAGACAAAATCAAATCTAGGAAAAATAATCCCTAAAGAATTCCAAAAACGACTTAATTGAAAATATTGCCAACTCGGTTTGACTGAGTCTGTTCATGGGCGGCACTTGGAGTTGCAAGTAAACGTCCTTGCCCCATAGCACCGGCTTAAACAGAAGTCAACATCTACACATGAATATGGTGAAGTTATGAATTTAACAACATCACCAAGTAAAAGAAAACGTATATCCGAAACGAGACAACAATGGGCAGACCTCTAAATAAAATGGAATATTGAAAGGGGATCAGAGGATATGAAGCCTGCATATCTAAGACAAAATGCCAAAGAAAGATTTAAAAAGTAGGCAATGGGTAATTATTTTGTATTCATGTAGGAATACTGGAACCACGCGACTAGATACAACAAACATGTACACACAATAATAATAATAATAATAATTAATAATATTATATTATAATAATTATGGCGTGCTGAACGATCTTCAAGGATCGAAATTATGAAATATTTGATTAAATGTGATAATATGACAATAAACTTACTGACGACATCTTTCCTCTTCTTCTTCTTTTTCTTCTTCATTTTCAGGTTAAATGGATTATAAAGGGATATAAACAAAGAATGAAAAGTTTTCAAAGAAACATCGACAGCAATGTGATATCTGCAAAATGTGGAGGCCACTGTGGTCGGTGCGATCCTGACGGAAATTTGTATATCGCTTACAACCAGAATGATGGCAAGTTATGCATATTTTCACTTTTGAAGGAAAGAATAAAATCATACTACTCATTCACACTTTGCATAATGAATGTACGCACAAAGATTAATTCTGATAAAAAATTTTACCATGCCGCTTTCAATAATGGCGTCATAAGGACGATTACTAAAATTCTATTTCATCTCATTATTTCGAATCTACTTATCATACATATAATTCTCACGCGTATGATATTGTGCAGAAAAAAGGGGAACATGTATATTAAGTTTTTTTTCCAAAGTTGCTCTGGACAAAGTCTGAGATTTATTACGCATTCCGTCCTCAAAAACCCAGGCTATTTACCGTAAACAAAAAATCATCTCAATCAAAAACATTTCGTGTCCTTATCCGAAGACTAACGGAAAGGACCGGAATCATCCTCGATAGCCCAGGCTATTTACCGTAAATGTAGTACGGAATGTGTATCATTGCTTCCGATGATGTACGCATTCGTAAGAGTATGGATTCCTTTCCGTAGTTAGAAATAGGCAAAATAGTTTAACCTTATAATGTAGTTTACTTTGCCAAAAATAAACTGAAATCTTACATTTTGTGTCATTTCAAAGTGACGGATTTGTGATTAATCATGTGAATTGGTATATTGACTTGAAAATATCTATAATTGAGGTTCAAGTACTTGGTGATTTTGAAAAAAAGTAAAAAAAAGAGTCAAGATTCAAGATATAATCCACATGTTATAAATGAATGGTTTTGCAGTATTTATCACCATATATTTACTGCATATCCACCACATTAGGGACCATTGTTGCATATTTTAACCTCTTTTTGGTAATTGAAGTAGATTGCAAGAGATGTTTGCAATATGTAATTTACTTTCTTTGTTCACATCAAATTTTCAAAAACAAGAAAAAAACGTTATCAAAATTTCATGAAAATAAGTGTGAATTTGGAGGCATCATGCTTTAATTAACTAGTTTCTCCTATACTGTTTACAGTGGTAGCAGACGAGAGTACCACGAGTCCAAAGTGTGATTGACAGTGACTCTGTGTAATCCTATAAGCTAATGAGCGACAAGTTGAAGAGTTGTGGTTTTATGCAGACAAACGTTTTTATTTTGCTTTCATTCTGGGTTATATGTTATCTTTTAATAGTGTATTATCCGTAATTTTGAATGTGAAAATGTTGTAAACGAAGAGGTTTTGTACCTGTATCAATGGTCCCCCTCAGTAGTATCTTACATTAAAGGATCTCGACTGAGGTCGAAAAGTCTTAACACATAAACTTAAAATTCTTACAAAATTCGAACGGGGACATTTAAATCAGAAAGATATGCAAAAGAAATATGCACAGTAATAAGTTGTAAATTGTAATTGTCTTCTATTTATTGTCCAATGTCTGTGAAAATCATTGCAATTCTTTGCAATTTCAGGTCATTTCTCACAATTACATTACTTATTCTGGAAAAAAGTGAGCTAAAATTCTGAAAATTTGCACAAAAGTCACTGATCTAGATCTACATCAAATGGAACATAAATCTCGAAAAAATATTTCCAGCCCTGTCAGATTTTTCTTTATTTTAACTTCGGCAATTCCAAAAGTTGGAACAATTGCAGATTAAATTGCATTTTCTGCTTACATCAAATATTCTTTAATAATTTGTCGTCAGTATCAACCATGCATTTAACATGCATTTACATTTCAATATTCTGCTATGCATCAATTAAAATTTCAGAATTAATATTTAAGAATTGTAGTTAATCAATTCCTCAGCAAAATAATTTAAATAAGTTTTCGGCTGTCCGCATTTTTAAGCTGTTTCGTTAATTATGTAACTTTATTGAGTAATTACATGGTGTTATATGTTATATTTAATTCAATTTTCAATTCAAAATGTTATTGCATAAAGCCTAAGAGATTATAATTGAACATTTTATGATATGGAACACAGAGAGTAAATGAATTTTTTTCTGAACAAACAATGATATGTGTAACAAGAATGTGAATTCAAACACAATATATTGCATTGTTTGCCTTGGTAATAAGTCATATATACATATTACATTAATAGTTGTTGTTGTTATTGTTTAAGGGTTGAGTGTCCTGTTGTTAATTTACGGGGGTTGGTGTGTTGTTGTTGTTGCTTTTGTCATCAAATTTAGTAATATATTTCGAACACTGAACTATATTTTTACAAGATACCTACAACTTACTTGGCCGAGTGGTTAAGGTCGTTGACTTCAAACCTCTTGCCCCTCACCGCTGTGGGTTCGAATCCTGACAGGGACTTTGGATTCATTCATGTGAGGAAGCTATCCAGCTAGCTTACGGAACGTCGGTGGTTCAACGCAGGTACCCTTTCGTGTCTGAAATAATGCACGGAACGGCACCTGAGGTCTTCCTCCACCACTAAAGCTGGAACGTCGCCATATGACCTATACTGTGTCGGTGTGACGTAAATTTCCCCAATCAAACAAACACTCCTAAAAACATGTTTAGTTTCATCATGACAAAAGCATACATCAATATAAGATGCTCAATATTGTTATTACATGTTTCTGAACTAATACCTTATCTATCTTATAACGAAGCTTTTCTGTTAATATGTTTATAGATTTTAAAAGAGTTTTAAATTCTTCAGTAAAAGAATAAAACTCACACAAAACGCTTAATTGTTAAATCATGATGATTCATATATTAAAAATATAAAAACTAAATAAAATTAAAAAAACCCATATTTACTAATTCAAACTAATTGAGTAACTACGACAAAATATCCTAAAAGCAATCAAAATGTGTAAATGTTTTCCTCTATCCGCTGTGTATTTGTTTGTTGTATGCTTTTTTAGATATGGTGCCACTCTCGTTTACACTCACGGGATCATTTTCTCACTGCATTTTCACCGTCCAGTTAGCTCAATAGGTAGAAATGTGAATCGGGTGAATATTGGTACGATTCCCAAACTGTGATGTGATTGATCATTAAATCCTTTCTACGGCCATTCGCACCGTACTTCTGTTCTGGCATGTACAGAAATAAGCAGTTTCTTGTGAAAGTGAAAGCATCGAGTACTGGTAAAGTTTTTGACAACTTGCCGAGTAACGATGTGGTGGCTGTGCTAAACTCTTGTAAATTCATTGTGGCTTTCTGCTGAAAGCTGCCAACGCCACCACTAATATAACATTCGTAATCCAAGCACGTTACGTCAGCATTCTACCATGTTAACAACGTTGATTTGATACACGCTCATGTGTCTCCATTGAATGTTTTCATGAAATCATTTAAAATATAAATTTAGGAAAGACCATTTTAGCATCATTTTTATGTCGTCGTTGCTTTTGCTGTTGTACTTATTGTCAATCAGTGCATAAGTATAAAGTTTTAATAAATTTTAACAAATTTCACCGCAGAAATAAGTTGTGTGAATTAAGTCTTTGATATTGCAGTAACATATTTTAACTCGTATTTCTTTTGATTTAATGCATAGCATCAAAGGAATAAGAACCGATTCTTGTTGTTTTTCTTTGAGTACCTTTAAATGGAGTACATGTTAACTTAAAGATCCTGTCACACATTTTTCTTTATGGTTTTTTATCATAAATGTGATGTTGAAATGAAGATTTATCAATTTTGTTAGTTCCAAAAAAAAATTATTTGTAAAAATATTGCCGGTTTGCTTAACATTTCATGTAAATAAAGGGGGGTAATTAGAAATTTATTTTCTATAAAGTCTGAGCAAAAGTTGTCAATAAAAAGTGCATATATATTTTTATGATTACATATAATGCGCTAAAACATGTGCAGTACATATTAAACACATTATTGAATGTTTGAATTTGTTTCAGTAAAATTATTATATACATTAAAAATTCACTTCATTGTAACATACAAGATCATTTATGACATTTTTTAATCTTATTGTCGAGCATTATATGCTTAACACTAAATAAAGAGTCAAGATTTATTTACTGTTGTACATTTTTTTAAATCATATAACCTGTATCTTCGCAATCAATCATTAAATCTTTGTTTTACTTCTTAAATTACATTTGTATTTTGTTTTTTATCCCCGTCCTTTTTAAAGTTAGGATCAAGAGTCCCAAATTACTACAAGTCATGCGCTTTATTTCACCTTTTACTGTTGTAGCACATTAGTAAGTGTTAAAACGGCCCTAGCTTAAACATAAATTATAAATGTGAAATTGCCCAAACATATAAATTAGTGTTGAAACGGCCCAAACATATAAAGAAGTGTTGAAAAGGCCCAGACATATAGGTGTTGAAACACCACCAGCAAAATTTTTTTGATCAATGAACCTATTTTAAGATATAAGGAGAACATTATTATTTAAGAATATTCAATGCATATAAATGCAACAGCCATGTCGAAAAATATTAAAATCAAGTCCCAAATCATTTTTTTAAATGCCTCGAGCACTTTTAACAAACTAATCTTAAGGGAACTTAGTAAGTAAATTATTTGAATTAAGTCATGTTAACAGTAAGACGATACTTGGAAAATAAAAAAAAACAGTCAAGTGGGGGCTGTGTTCATTGAACGCCGCCTTTCCTTGATGATCTTATTTATCATATTTTGTAGTTAAACCAGTTATTCAAACGAAATTCCTATCAATCAACTTTAATAAGGGCTTTGGCAAAGAAGCCAAAGACAGGAAAAAAGAAAGACAGGAAATTTTAGTGTACTGTGTAAAGCACCTATTTGCTACAACAAGTATTTTTATTGTTATATTATAAATTAATTAAGCTAATTAGGTATGTCTCTTCGATCATCAAGGCATCCAAGTATATTAACTGATAAAAATCTCTAACAAGTCCCCAGGTAGGAGATTAACAACAGGATGATATAACTTAAATATTTTGATGAATGAGTACAGCACTGCCAATGAAAAATAGAACTGTCATAGAAATATTCCAGTCAAGCTATTAAACGTATCTTTAGAGTGAGCTGGGGGTGGTGCAGGAACTAATAGTGCGAAACAGCTTAAACATATTAAGTTAGTGTTTAAACGGCCCAGGGCAACGCATTACAAAAAACATGCAACAACAGTGAGTGGAAACAAAAATTTATCTGTAAATGCATGCCCTCCATTACGTACACCTATTTTATAAATTTTTCCCTCTAATTCATCAGTTTCTTTACTAATACTCATCACATCAATTCATGTTATTGAAAACTAACCTCTCTCTCATTTAGCGCGTAAACACTTACTTACTCCAAACTTAATAATTCTCTGTTAAATACTTTCTTCCCTCTATACAAAACTTAATCACCTTTTATAAAACACTTCTTTCTCTTTTTCCAAAATGTATTTAACCCTACCGTCTTTCCAAAAAGTATTAGCCTGTTATCAAAGAGATAATTTCCTCCCATACGCCACAAATGTCCATTTAATTAAATTGTTTCTTCTTCCTTAACATTATCTTATCTGCCGTTTCAAATCACGAATCTTTTTTAAAGCTTAAATTCAATTTCAAAATCATAAACTTCATTCTTATTCGATGCAATCGTTTTTACATCTTACCTAACACTTACGTATAATCTCTTACTAACATCTAATACCAACCTATCTTCACTTCTTCTTCAATACAATTGCCAGCTTTACTCTTGCACATGACTTATTACTCTTTTATTTGTTACTACCGTCCGTCTAAAGAACTCTTAATTCCCTTTAATAAAAGCCATATATCCAGATTTACACCTATTATAATAAAAATTTTGATTGATGATAATGATGATTGGGATAAACGGTTTAATGACTGAGATGATAGTGATTAAAATATGGAATGCAATGATGATTATAATGATTATTGTGGTATTGATGATGATTATGGTCCAAGTGGTGGTGATATTTATTATTGATATGGATGATGAATATGGTAGGATAATGATGAAATGACAGTGATGATGATGTTAAAGGAGGTGATGGCGGGGATGAATTCATGTTTTAGATGATTATAATAATGATGATGGTACGTCACCTCAGAAACTTCTTTTCAAGACATACAATGCTATACATAACTATATTTCTAATCTGCTTTAGCCTTCTCTATACTGCTCTACTATGTTCTACTTTAAACTACACCCTTCTCTACTCTTCACTCTAGTCCAGTCTGGTTTATGCTACACAACTGTATCCTTTTTTCCTCTTTTCTTTTCTACTCTCCGTTCCCCTACTCCCCCCTACTCTACTATATTTACCTCATTTCTACTCTCTTCAACTCTAATAAACTCTACTCTACTCTACTACTTATAAACTCTATTCTACTCTACCCTACTCTACTCTACTGAGTCTACTCTACTTTACTCTCCTCTACTCTAACAAGGGCCGGTTGAACAGGGGGATGCTTTTCAGAGTTATGTCCCGGACAAAGTTCAAAGTGTAAAAATTAACATAGGGCAATAACTGAGGCAAGGCAGAGTTATTGTTCTTTTGCGCTGCATATCTAATTATTAATATCTATATACCTACAAAGTCTCATATTGATATCTCTTATGGTTTCAGAGTTATGTCCCGGATAATGTTCAAAGTGTAAAAATCAACCAAGGGCAATCACTTCAAAATTAGAGAAGGCAGTGATACGGTTCTTGTGCATTGCATATTTACCCATTGAGATATATCAATCTACAAATTGTCATACTGATACCTGTGTTGTCCCCAGCCTTTTCGAAGAAAAATGGGGATATAGAAATAGGCTCAGTTCGTTACTTGGCACAAATAGTCACACTTATAGATGATATGTCATGCGTAACACATGTGTTCATACATCCAAGGTCAAGGTCACACTTAGAGGTCAAATATTTACATAGTCTGTTATAGGGTATATTTTGTGTCCAGTCCATACTTTCTTCATAGATCAAGGGATTTTAAAAATACTTTGCACAAATAATCACAATGATAAGACGGTATGTCAAACATGGGTCTCTACCTCCAAGGTCACACTTAGAGGTCACAGATAAACATAGTCTGTTATAGGGTATATTTTGTGTCCGATCTATCTATAACTTCTTCAAAGTTCAAAGGATTTTGAAAATACTTGGCACAAATAGTTACAATAATAAGACGATGTATCATGCACAACACCTGTACCCCTACCTCCAAGGTCAAGGTCACACTTAGAGGTCAAAGCTTTACATGATAGATTTTTAAATTCCGTGTTTCTTTTTATTTCTTTAAAAAATCTATTATTGCATTTGCAGATCTAGCATTGATCATAATTTTGGACTGAAGGTCCTGAGATCCATACCTCAATCTTTTGAAATAACACAATTTTATGCTTCATATAAAACTTCCCCGAGGCGGGGGACGTTAGTAAATCTGTTTCAAATTCTTTTTGTTTCAGAGTTATGTCCCGGACAAGAAAAAGTGGATGGACAACAAACGTACACACAGACAGACGGACGGACAGAGCGGCGACTATATACTTACCTCGATAAGCATAATGAACACTACTTTACCCTACTCTTCGCTACTCTCTACTCTATTTATATAACACTACAACACATGTTTATCGATTTACGCCCAACAGGTATTTTACACTAATCTATTTCACTTACAAAATGATCTACAAATAATTTTGCCAGAAAACATTTCACCCTAATGAGAATATCTCGGACGAGCCACCAGATTGTCAGTAAAATGACTGCCTTGATATAATTTAATCTAAGGAAAGATTTCGTAAAACAAACAACTAGAACCAACTTCCAAGTTGGAAAGCTAGCGTGCAATTGTTTAGTTTACAGTATTTTCTTAGGTCTTTTTATTTTTTCCTATTTTCAATCCATATATACATTTACACAACAAACTAGTATTTTTTTTTGTTTACATCCGAAACAAACACACACCATTTATTAACATTTACAAAGTATTTTTCCACGTATAAGTCTTTATTACGAAACAATACTATACCCCTGGCTAAAAAATTTACGACCAAACAAAACAATAAAATCATCTCAAAAAATGAAGAATACAAAATGAATATTTTTACATCTTTATGGTACAGCATACACCACAAACATTCAACAGGCAATATAAATTTCACAAATCTAATCAGCATCAGAAAACAACTTAAACTAAAACACTCATATTTACAGACACCTTCAGAAACAAAGCATCAACTATGATAATCTTGACAAGACAAAATCACTCAATATAAACTCTGAAATGTAAAATATTAAGGTACGGCATAAGCGGGAATAATAAACTACCGCAAAAAGTGATCTGTTTTTCAAAGAACCAAATCAATAGGGATGATTTAAATGTTAGCGAATAACTTGCATCAAATAACGAATTTGTATCAATTAATAAGCTCAAAATATATTTTTCTTACATTTTCCATTTATTTAAAAGAATGTACACATTTCATTGACTTAATTGTTTTTAGCTAATTGCGTCATTTTACCCACTTATATATTCACACATTTTATAGAAACATGATGTTTTTTTCCTGTAGACAAAAGTTTAACTTCCGTGCATTATAAAAATATGAAATGTGCTGATATGGTGAAAGGGCCATTTATTTAGCTAATCTAAATGTGAGATGTAAGGAACTTGACTAAGTGTAGACATCATGCGTTTGTTTTATATAACTATTTTGTGGAAACCACAAAAGGGCGGGCTATCGGCGACAATGTTCACGCAGTTAAGAGAAATGCCTTTGCTTTTGATTGAAAAAACAATGTTGATCATAAAATAGGTCAATGTTTAATAATACGCATTAGCAAAAATAATAAGTCCCGGGCCTGCGGCATTGTTGACCAATTATTTTTGTTAATACGTATTATTAAACACTAAAATTACATATTTGCTAGCTTAAAACGATTTTACATTTTCATGTAAATAAAGTTTATACGCACAGCAACATATCTAAAAAACTTTTCAGTGAAACATGATATTAACAGTGTATTGCTGGCGGTTATAAAATATATATATCTACAGTTAAACTATATAATTATTCTTAAATGCGTGCATGCACTACTTTAAATTACCAGCCTACTCGTGCGAATTTTAATGGCCTTGAATATTCTTAGAAATAAATTAAAGTTTATTTTTGTCAGCAATTAAATGTATACTACTCAACTTTTGCTAAGCACCATATGTTTGAGTGTGAATATTTCTTTGGATAATTTTATTAACGCCGTGCGAAAGGTTTAAAATGTTTTTAACTGTTTTATCAATTCAACTGAAGGACGAATTTAACCCTATTACGAGTTTTACACTAATTTTGTGCCCTAGAAGAGGATGACTCCCATCTTGAAGATTTCAGAACATGCAGCGTGTTTTACAAATTTGTTGGGTCTTTTTTACAGTTTTAGACTAAATACCGTGTGTGTGACCCGTGACAATCAATGAAAGTTTGACAGCACCTTCTAATACATGTAATACTCACTATAAGGTTTCTGATCGTTCTAACGAGCATGACTTCCCATTCTTGGACCAACATTGCTTAAAGCTACTAGATGGTTCTAGGTTGCAGCTAACGAGCTGAATTTTTAACCTGCTGCTCAATTCACATGTGTTGAATTGGATTTAAGTCAGGTGCTGGCCAGTCCATGCACTCAATAAACTCCCTATCTAGGTATCCCTAGACCACTCTGGCCAAATGGGGGCAGGCATTATCGTCTATTAGAATGAACCGATCGCCGACTCCTCCAGCATAAAACCTAAGCCGGTTGTCTGAGATGTCATCTATGTATTGCTGACCTGTCAGTGTGCCTCTATTTAGCAAAACAAGGTCGGTTCGACCTTCCCAGCTGATGCCTCCCCACACCATTTACCATTTTTGACCCGCCTCCGTAGCGGTCAGCCATCAACTCGTTTTCTCCAGACTCTAGCACGCCTATCTGTGAAATCTATGCAGAACCCATCAGTGATCAGAACGTGTCTCCTGTGTTGCATGGTCCACCGTGTATGCTTTAAGGTCCATCCAAACGGGCATGTCGATGTCGACGTATCAAGAGAAACGTATGTAGGGTCTTCGCCACCACAAGTTACCTATATGCAGCCTTCTTTATACCTTATGCGTGGCGAAATGGACTCAAACGCATAAGCATTGTCATTTGATAAGCAGTTGCTGTTGAACACCTTGCACGACGTGCCTAAACGAACAAAACAAAACCGATTCTAAGCTGATACTGTGACCCTTTGTGGACCTCCAGCGTGCCTCCTGGTGGGTGTACCATGTAGCCGGTATCTCTACCAGGCTCTGGTATGGCAATGTTGTGTACACCAAGCACCGCAGGGTGGCCACCTGCTGACACTCCCTACAGCCCTCAATAAATCTGCTTCTCTCAAATGCAGCCTTATGTTATTATATTCGCCATACCGAAGTCAAATATGTTAGAAATGTAAGCAAATGAATGATTTTAAGCCGGTAACGGATTAGTCAACACGAATTCATGTCAGGTTCTATCTCAAAACATTTTTTGCAGCAGAAGTTTCAAAAATTGGAAAGAAATCATTTTTATTCTTGGGTTCTTGGGATAATATTAAACATTAACTTATGATGCTTTGCAAAAGTTGAGTAGTATATATAAACAGGAATATGACCGACTTTTTCATTGGTTATCAAAAGTTACAGAATGTATAATTATTTTGTAGCAGTAATTAACAGAGAAACTGGATGGGAATATAATCATGTAAGAACTTAAAGTAGGTTTAATGCGAGTGTATAAAAAGAAAGGATCTTTTATGAACACGTCGATCTGTTTTTAACAGCGTAATAGTAAATATATTGCCACGTTTTAAACATTTTAGACATAAATTGAAGAGATATTAAACTAGAAAGATTGTTGCCATGGCATTGTCACGTCTTATTGCGCTGACAAGTATTGTCTCATGGATTATTTTTCTGACAGTATTTTCCTTTGAAACAACAAATGCTAGAGGTACGTAAAACAGCTTATTTGGTATTGTCAAATGAGGGTATTTAAATTGGACACTGTACAATTCGGTTACATGTACGCAAGTCAAACGAGTGTTTCCGAATTATTTTTCGAGCCAAAGAAGGTACCAGTAAGTGGCGTGTGAGCCACCAACCTTGACCCCCGGTCACGTGTCTTTTCATATTAATTAGAACGAGTTATTATCTGTTGAATAAGAATTTAAATGTACAATATTTCAGTCATATGTTATCATAATGGTCACACTACTGTATTGATTTTACCATAGACTTACATTATAAGAAATTACCATTAAACATACCTTAAAATTGAGTTATAATGCTAAAGATGTAATTTGCTAAGGAATGATATGTCTGACACAGTTAATTGAACTTGTTATATAGGGTTGACAAAAAATCTCCCCAACGATGATTACCGGTAATATTCAATTGAGAAATTACAATGTTTCAGTCATATGTATTCATATAGGCAAAATAAATAACTTGCCCGACCCCTCCACGCTTGTAAATGATTTATTGAATCACATTATACATTTCTCAATTTTGATTTTCTTGAAAACATGTTTGCTCATCTGGAGGCTTGCAGCTTTGAAATTTAGTCATACTGTATACACGCTTTTTTATTTTGTCCTTCTTTATGATACAATCTGCACGGAATTCCATTGAACATGAAAGTTCCATAATTTCAGTTTAAGTATATAGACTGAAAATATTTCAAAACAATGCAATGTTTCAACATATACTGAGATAATGGTACCAGCATTTACTGCTTTATTCTCATGTATTTAACAGATACTGTGTTATCTCATGTTTTCAAAGGTTTTTGCAATATTTTTAAGTGTTTTACAGTTATTTTCATGTGTTCAACAGTAACTATGTTAATGTTACGCAATCAACAGATACTGTGTTATCTCATGTTTTCAAAGGTTTTTGCGATATTTTTAAGTGTTTAACAGTTATTTTCATGTGTTCAACAGTAACTTTATTACTGTTACGCAATCAACAGATACTGTGTTATTCTAATGTATTCAACAGTAACTGTTGAATTTATCACGTATTCAAAAGTTTCTGTGTTCTTCGCATGTGTTCAACAAGTATTGTGTTATTCTTATGTGTTCAACAGTTTCAGTGTTATTATTCATGTAATTAACATTTACCGTTTATTTTTATGTATCCAACAGTTACTGTATTATTTTCATGTGTTAAATAGTTATGTCTTATTTTCATGTCATGTGTGCAACTGCTACGGTGTTATTATTCCGAGTGCAACTGCTTCTGTGTTATTATCCTGTGTTCAACAGTTACTGTGTTATTTTCATGTGTTCAACAGTAACTGTGTTATTTTCATGTCTTAAATAAACACTGTGTTATTATTATGCGTTCAACAATAACTGTGTTGTTTCCATGTGTTCAACAGTTATTGTGTTATTTCATGTGTTAAACTGAAACTGTGTTATTATCATGTGATAAATGTTGATGCATTATAAATATGTGATCAACAATAACAGTGTTATGTTTCATGTGTTTAACAGTTACTGTGTTGTTTTCATGTGTTTACAAGTTCTTGTGTTATTTTACTTCTGTTCAATAACGTCTGTGTTATTTTCATGTGTTCAACAGATTCTATGTTCAACAGTTTCTGTGTTATTTTTATATAATCTATAGTTTCTGTGGGTTATTTTCATGTGTTCAACAGTTTCTGTGTTATTTTTACATGTTCAACAGTTACTGTGTTATTCTCATGTATTACACAGTTACTGACTTATGTGTTATTATCATATGTTTAACAATTACTGTTATTTTCATCTTTTCAAAAGTTACTGTGTTATTCCCATGTGATCAACCGCTACTGGGTTATTTTCAGGTATTCAAGAGTTTCTGTGTTATTTTCATATGTTCAACAGTAACTGTGTTATTATCATCTATTCAAAATATACTGTGTTATTATCATGTATTTAATAGTAACTGTGTTATTTTCATCTATTCAAAAGTCATTTTGTAAACCCATGTGATCAACAGTTACTGTGTTATTTTCGTGTATTCAACAGTTACTGTGTTATTTTCGTGTATTCAACAGTTTCTGTGTTATCTTCATGTATTCAACAGTTTCTGTGTTATTTTCATGTATTCAACAGTTTCTGTGTTATCTTCATGTATTCAACAGTTTATGTGATATTTTCATGTGTTCAGCAGTAACAGTGTTATTATAATCTTTTCAAAAGTAATTAGTGTCTCTTCTCATGATTACTAACAGTTGCGGTTATGGTATATATGTAATAATATAAATGATCTTAACAGATCAGGTGTTTTATATATCAAGTTAACTGTGTGTTCTTCCAGCAATCCAACAATTTTTGTGTATTCCATCTATTCAACACATTAACTTGTTATTCTCATTGTGATCAAAAAGTTACTTTCTCTTTCTTGTAATCAATAGATTTCGCTGTACTTTACTTGTGTCAACAATTTCTTTGTTATTGTTATCTATTAAACAGTTACCTTGTTATTTTCATGTGTTCAAAAGTTACTGTGTTATCCTCATGTATTTAACAATTACTGTGTTATGTGAAATTATTATGTGCTCAACAGTTATAAAGTTATTCTCATGTGATCAACAGCTACTTTGCTATGCGTTTAAATAAGTATGTGTTAAACAGTAAAGTGTTGTTTTCCATGTGTTCAACGGTTCTTGAATTATTATCTTGTGATCAAATGTTACTGTGTTATGTGTTATTATGTGTTCAACAGTTACTGTGTTATTTTATTGTGCCAACTGTTTCTGTCTTATTCTTATGCGATCAAATGTTAATGTGTTGTATGTTAATGTCATGTGTTCAGCAGTTATTTTCATGTGGTCAACAGTAACTGAGTTATTTTCATGTGTTCAACAGTAACTTTGTTTTTCTAATCAATTATAAAATTATGTTATTCTTATGTGTTCAACATTTACTGTATTATTTTCATGTGTTCAACAGTAAATTTATTATTTTCATCTATTCAAATATTACTGTATTATTAACCTTTTAAAAGTTATGTGTTTAGCAGTTAATGTTACAGTAACTGTGTTATTTTCATGTGTTCAACAATAAATATGTTATTCTCATCTATTCAAAAATTGTTATGTTATTTCCATGTGTTCAACAGTAAATGTAAATATGTTATTCTCATCTATTCACAAAATACTGTATTATTCTCATGTGTTCAAAATTCACTGTATTATTTTCATGTGTTTAACAGCTACTATTTTAGTCTATGTGATATTCTTTCCTTTTTAAACCGAATTGTGTGGTTCTCATGTATTTAACAGTTAATGGTTTTGTTTAATGTATTAAACATTGACTGTGTTCTTCTAATGTGTTAAATTGTATTGAACTGGTAATGTGATATTCTCATAAGTGCAACTGATACTGTGTAATTCTCACGTGTGCAACTGTTACTGAGTTATTCTCATCCATGTAACCGGTACTGTGTTATTCTTATATTCTAGTATGCAACTGTTACTGTGTTATTCTCGTGTATTCTTCGTGTATGTAACCGTTACTGTGTTATTCTTATATTCTAGTATGTAACTCTTACTGTGTTATTCTCATGTATTCTCGTGTATGTAACCGTTACTGTGTTATTCTCGTATATTCTCCTGTATGTTAACTGTTACTGTGTTATTCTCGTGTATTCTCGTGTATGTAAACTGTTACTGTGTTATTCTCGTGTATTCTCGTGTATGTAACTGTTACTGTGTTATTCTCGTGTATTCTCGTGTATGTAACTGTTACTGTGTTATTCTCGTGTATTCTCGTGTATGTAACTGTTACTGTGTTATTCTCGTGTATTCTCGTGTATGTAACTGTTACTGTGTTATTCTCGTGTATTCTCGTGTATGTAACTGTTACTGTGTTATTCTCGTGTATTCTCGTGTATGTAACTGTTACTGTGTTATTCTCGTGTATTCTCGTGTATGTAACTGTTACTGTGTTATTCTCGTGTATTCTCGTGTATGTAACCGTTACTGTGTTATTCTTATATTCTAGTATGTAACTCTTACTGTGTTATTCTCATATGTGCAACTATTACTGTGTTATTTTCATGATTGCAACAAGTATCTGTTATTTTCGTGTATGCACAACTGTTACTGTTTTGTGTGTATCATATATTCAAATGTTACTATGTCATTCTCAAGTATTCAACTGTTACATTAAGCTTCTCAAAAAGCGGGCATGTTTGTAGAGTGAATACGTGTACGTAAAAGAAAAGAAATATAATAACGCGTCATTTATTTATTTCAATATTGTTGATTTCAATAAATGTCAGCTCGTTAAATCCCTGGTATGAGTGGTCGTTATACGGTACTGTTTGTGATAAATTTCTATAATCTTCAGCTTGTTTGTTCCATAGTATGATTGGTCGTGATATGGTTATGTTTGTGATAATTTTCTATGAACTTCAACTCCCTTAATCCCTGGTATAAGTGATCGTCAAATGATATTGTTTGTGATCAATTTCTATAAACTTCAGCTCGATTAATCCAATCCCTTGTTTGAGTGGTCGAGATGCGGTAATGCTTGTGATGAATTTCTTTGAAATTCATTTCGTTTTAACCCTGGTAAGACGTATTGTTTTTAATAGATACATTTCAACCGGCTAAAGTCCTTGTACGGAAAGTTTTAATGTTTTGTAAATGTTAATACATTTCAGGCCTAGTAGACGTGATATTGATGTCGTATTGTTTGGGATATTTTCTATAAATTTCAGCTCGTTTAAGCTATGGTAAAAGTGGTGTCAATGACGTAATACCTGTCGAAAGATCCTCAAGCATTCAGGATAGGTCAATGAATTTGGTAAAGAAATTTATGAAGCTACTCGAAGACATTTATTTTTCAAGAAACAACAAACAGGTCAGACTCTTCCTGTGCTTATAATGCTAACAATGTTTGATCCATATTTGTTTGGACAATGTGATGTTTTTTTTCTAGCTGAGATATTTACTCTTGCAGAGTAAAAAGGTATCATATGATAAGAGGATTGGCTCTGCTTTGATAGGCAGACGACGAAAATTAGTGATTTAAAGACATCGTCCGTAGCTACCTTTAGTATTGTTGTAGAGATAATTGTTTCTCACTAACCCGGATAGAAATATCCGTAAATGTAATTAAACATAGCTGGGAAATCTTATCAACCGAATCTATATCCTTTCGTCAAACTACGGACAAGAACCTCGAACACAATAGTAAGAATGACAGAACAGATACGGCACTTCCGTCTAACCTACGCTAAGAAACTAAACTTGTTAACAAATAGTAATTTAATGCTAGGAGCTGAAGACTTAATTTATTCAAATATATCGAATAAAAGTCCATTTGTTTCATGTGCGTTTTAAGATATAACAGTAAACAGTAAACTTTTTTATTATGGTTATACAAACCGAAAGTACAAAACGTCTGCCTGTTGAAAATGTTCGGATTTGGTTATAATTGTACATCGGTTGGCATTTTTAAATTGATTATGATTGATTAGAGCCAATCTGATCAGATCTACTCTTTCTTTTATATAGATCTGAAGACGACCGTATATGTTCCACCTTCTTTATAATTCGGATTTCCCGAGAAAACTATTTTAGCTATGCAATCAAACCGATTTTTACATAAGCATTAGAAGAAGTATCAAAATACCATTATACGTGAAAGTTAAACGAATTGTTTAAAAAAATGTTTGAAGTATTTTTTAACAAATTTCTTTGAAAAATAGAGTCAATTTATAATGAGCAAGATTGTTTTGCCAGTTTACCTGTCGGCTATATGGACAACGCCATGTTTGTTCTCGAAATCATGAAATTTATCTACTCAGTATTGGTTTTCCCAGGGTTGAAATTAGAAACCACATCGCTTTCAAAATTATGAAAGCTCGCCGATGATTGTGAATAGGCACCAGAATTAATTTATTTTATGGTCATGTTCAGGTCTAATTGCGGAACGTTTTTTAGAGCTGATTTTAATCAGATTGTGCCGCAGTAAGAGCGTTCCAGAAAGATAAAGGTCCGTTTAAGCGCCGTACACAAGCAATTTAAGCGCGGCACAATCTTCGCACAAGAGCCGGGGCTAACCACGTTGTTCATTCGGCGATCCTTCTGCGCTTCACGTTGCTCCTGTTTTCGTTGCGATTCTACTGAGTTGACGTATCTAGTTACTGCATCCAACAGCGCTACATATCAGAACCCCAGCAACGAGCGTTTGTCTATGAGCCAATTTTATTTGCTCTAAAACCTGCGCAGATGCGGTGGCGTTCCATGCGATGTCTGCAGCGATGTGTTGCCGATGCTTACAGCGCTCACTCGGCGTCTCTGAATTTTCCTTTGGACGCCGTAGAACGCCAGCCCTGTGTGACAGCGTAAAACACAAAATAGTAAAGCGCGGCCAATTGATTTCCAAATTTTCTAGCTTTTTAGAAGACCGCAACTGGCTTAGCTTACTAAAATACCTTATGGGAACCCATTCACTCAACTATGAGGTGGCTTTGAAGAATACGTAGCACTTTGTCCACAAGCTAAAAAATTACTGAAATACTCAGCTGTTAAACAACACAGAAATTTCTTTGTTACAACATAAAATAAAAGCCTGATGCGCCTTTTAAATGAATATATGTCTCTTGATTTTCCTCTATTTTTACAGACGGTTAGAAGCTGTAGTTCAAGGCCATGTAAAGCGAACCAAAGATGTCATCAAAAAGGTGCCTCACATGTCTGCGAATGTACGGAAATTTTCTTAGTAATTACTAGTTTTAGTTTGTCATGTATGTTTTTTGTTCTTGTTTGTGTAACTCTAAGATTTTTCAGATAAAAAAGCAAACTTAGACTACGTTTATTTTTGCTCTGTTACATATATAGGTTATAAGTCTTGAAGAATCGGTTTTGATTGAGCATGTTCATGGACAAAAGTTGTAGTTGCTTGCTATCGTACACACCCCTTATAACCGATGTCAAGTGTATAAATATCTATATCTATTGAAATATGTACAAAGAATTATAAACAGGAAAATGACTTTGTTTCTGTTATAATTTAAGGGCAATTCTTTTTCAATAAATTGTTTGTTTATTCTGTTCAATAACGTCTTTAAAAATGCATTGTAAAATTGTCTTCTTGTTTGTTTGGTTTGTTTTGTTTGTTTTTGTTGTTGTTTCTTTGTCGTTGGAGGTGGCGGTGGTTTTTGTTGTGTTCTTTCTTTCTTTGATATATCAGTGTTTACCATGAACCCTTCATTGAGACAATATCGTACTTTTTTCACGAAAAGTGGCGTAAGATCCCCTGAACACTTTATCAAAATAATTTCGTACTTTTTTTCACGAAAAGATCCCCAAGTATTTAAAGAATGCGTAAAAAAGAGAAAAGCAACGCGCAGGGCTAGATAAAGTAAAGTTTCCATGATATTCGCCATATGCACACATCTGTGTTTGTCAGTTGAAAATTTCACCATTAGTATATTGTAATGTAATGTTGAAGTCTGCTTAAGCCTGTGTTAGGGAAGGGGGCGTTACGGTAACTTTCACTTTCCAGGACTACCCACGAATAGGCCCATAGAAACCCAGCCTGCAACATTTAAAATTTTGTCAATTTTTACTTACATTATGGATTTCATTTCTCTCTATTTTAAGTACCCTATGGTAATACGATGTTCTATTAAATCAGTTTGTGTATTTTATTTTTTTGAGTAATCTACATAAATGGTTGTGTATCGAGAAAATATTTCATATTAGCATGAATTATTTAATTATGAATTATATAAGTATGAATTATGTATATATTATTTAAATAAGCGTAAATGATTTAAGCATGGATTGTATAAGCCTGAATTATGTAAGTATGAATTATATAAGTATGAATTCTGTATGTATTAATTATATAAGCGTAAATGATCTAAGCATGGATTGTATAAGCATGAATTATATAAGTATGAATTATATAAGTACTAACTATATTAGCGCAAATGATTTTAGCATGAATTATATAAATATGAATTATTTAAGTATGAATTATATAAGTATCAATTATATTAGCACAAAAAGATGCATGAATTATATAAGAATGAATTATATAAATATAAAGTATGAATTATATAAGTGCTAATTATATTAACGTAAATGATTTTTGCATGAATTATTTTAAGTATGAATTAAATAAATATATATTTATTAACATGAGTTGTATTAATATGAATTATAAAAAACTATGAATTTTATAAGTATAAACTAAATTAGCCCAAATGATTGTAATATGAATTATATAAGCATGAATTTTTTGAGTATGAATAATATAAGTATTAATTATATTAGCGCAAATTATTTTAGCGTAAAATATATAAATATGAATTATATCAGTATGAATTATATAAGTATTAATTATATTAGCCTGAATGATTTTAGCATCAATTATATAAGCATGAATTATATAAATATAAATTTTATTAACATTTGTTGTATTAATATGAATGATATAAGCACAAATTATATAAGTATAAGTTATATTATCGCAAATGATTTAAGCATGAGCTATGTAAATATGAATTACATCAGTATGAATTATATAAGTATGAATTATGTATGTATTAATTATATAAGCGTAAATGATCTAAGCATGGATTGTATAAGCATGAATTATATAAATATGAATTATTTAAGTATGAATTATATAAGTATCACTTATATTAGCACAAAAGATGCATGAATTATATAAGAATGAATTATATAAATATAAAGTATGAATTATATAAGTGCTAATTATATTAACGTAAATGAGTTTAGCATGAATTATTTTAAGTATGAATTAAATAAATATAAATTTTATTAACATGAGTTGTATTAATATGAATTATAAAAAACTATGAATTATATAAGTATTAATTAAATTAGCACAAATGAATTAAATATGAATTATATAAGCATGAATTATTTGAGTATGAATAATATAAGTATTAATTATATTAGCGCAAATTATTTTAGCGTAAAATATATAAATATGAATTATATCAGTATGAATTATATAAGTATTAATTATATTAGCCTGAATGATTTTAGCATCAATTATATAAGCATGAATTATATAAATATAATTTTATTAACATTTGTTGTATTAATATGAATGATATAAGCACAAATTATATAAGTATAAGTTATATTATCGCAAATGATTTTAGCATAAACTATGTCAATATGAATTATATCAGTATGAATTTTATAGGTATGAATTATGTATATATTAATTATATTAGCGTAATGATTTAAGCATGGATCAATTTCTCGTGTGCTAAATGAGTCGCTTAGCCAATCTGAAATGTTAATGTATCTAAGATATATTGAATATCATGCTATTAGCTAGTACTCAGTGAATTATTATAAAGATCAGTATACTTTAGTCTAATGGAATGTAATTTAGCTAACTCATCTTACTATATAATTCACTTAGTATTGCTCTAGTTTTATAAATTTAAATGTATGTCTTTAACTATGAAGTTGCTATTCTACGCTAATATATAAACTCGTATTATACAGCGTATTATATCTGCATACATATGTAATATATATTTAATAATAGATTAATAATTGAATTAGCTGGCAATCTTAGTTTGTTCTCGATAATCAATTTTCGATGTAATATAATATACATATATTATGTATATATTAGTATGATTTTATTAACATAAATTATAATTATTTGCATGAAAAATATCAGCATGAATTATATCAGCATGAAATATATTAAAATGAATTATATTAGAATGTATGAATTGTATTAGCAATTGTAATATTTGTTTGATTTATATTCGCTTAAATTATATAAGCATGAATTATATTTATATCAATTATATTAGTGTGAACAATAGTAGTTTGTATTTTGATACTATGAATCATATAGTCTGCATTTAATTATAACGAATCATATTAGTATTTATTATTATTATAAATTATATTAGTATAAATTATGTAAGTATGATGTTTATTCAGTCCCATGGACATGTAAAGATGTCAAACTTTGTAGCATCTCCTACACTGATGGTGAATACTGGCTATATTCGGAAATTCTCGGAGGTCATATGGTCAAAATATACTGCGCTGAAATGTCCACAGAAGAACCGCTGGAATACATTTCAGGTTTCAGATAAAACTTTTCAGCTTTGACACTAACAGCCTTTTTTCAATACAATGTTTAGCGGTTGATTAGAAAACAAAGTCAGGTTAAAGATATTTGAATACATTTCATCTAATTTTGTCTGCAATCGTTTTTGAGTACATGTATGTATTGTGGTAAAGCGAACGTCATGTTGGTATTTTCTAAGTCATTGACTCGCAAAACTTTTAATGATATAAACCGATTCCTTAACTGTACTGTGTTATAAAAAAAATTACTGGTTGTTTTTAAAATTGCATATTGCATATATACAATTTTAAAATGTAATTTAAAGAAATAACAAGAAGAAGAAATGATGATTTTTCAATTAAATTTAAAATCGTATAAATTGATGATCTAAGTTAATCGGCTCATGTTGTAAACCTTATTACTATATATTTCAGTGAATGAAAAAGACAATTATGGATTCAATGCTGGGTATCTGAGGTCCAAAAGGATTTTCACGAGATATCAGAAAATACGTGTCAATCTGATGGTATCAAATTAGTCGTTTAGAAATTCAAACTCATGTCATTTTTTAAATCTATCTAAATCTTATATAATTAAAGGCCCATTATGCCTTGGAAATGCTTTTTATTTTTATTTTTCAAAACTGATAAACTTTTATGTAAATTTGTTGACAGTTTCAACAAAAATACTATATTAATCACATTGATGTACAAAATATTGCCTTTTCTGCTCTTATTGCAATTGATCTACAACTATAGTGAACTAGTATTTTGTAAGGAAGTCAAAATACTACTTATTTACGCTTTGCTACCTTAAAGATACATTACTGCACGTTCAGCAAACCTTTTTCAGTTGTTAAACTTCTAACAAGTTTTATGCTCCTATCTATAATTGATGAGTTATTTTTGTGGTTTCAATTTCCAGGAGGAGAAAAATTATACGTTAATGATCACCATATTCCAGTACAATTCCACAAGCTAAACTTAATTCCACCACAAGTACGAGAGGGCAGCAGCGGTGTGTCGTTGTGGAATTGTATGAATGGAATTTCAAGTATTCTCTTTGCAAGGCACCCAGTGTTCAAATTCAGAAAGAAGGATTATACATAGTTACATCTTTTAAGACTAAACTGATTTTCGATTGTAGGCTATTCAGCGACTTTTGTCGATTAAAGTACCGAAAATACATTGATTTGTTTTCTTTGTGTTCGATGAAACAGATCAGCAACATTCTTACATGAAGCGTAACAACGAATGTCTACACAGCACTAATGGGAAACAAGCCCATAAATACATATTAGGCGTGATAGGCGACTTAATTTTGTCGTTTTGAGCTTTCTTTAGGGATTCTTTATTTCTCTCTATTGAGAGATGTTGCATTGTTTCATTATCTTTCGTTAACAGACACAATCAAATGTATGAAAAACTAATCCGTAAAGAATGCCAAAAAAAAACGAAAAAATTGAAAGTTTTGCAAGCTCGGTTCATCGACGTCACTTGAAAGTGCAAGTTACCACCGACGCCCCAGCACCGGCTTTAGCAGAAGTCAAAATCTAAACATAAATATGGTGAAATTTAAAATTGAGGAACATCACCAAGTAAAAAAATACGTATATCCTAA